CCTCCCACTAACTCAAAGGCACTACGGGCTTGCTGGGAAGGGATTTTTCATAAGTGGTAATGACTTTATCAGGAAAAGATTAGAGAGGGATGTCATGTGTCTGGGTGTCATCACTGAAAGTGATCAGAAGCCTGGACCACCTATTCCATGAGGACAGCCTGAGACAGTGGTGGTGTTTAGTTATTCAATCTGGATGAGGCTTTACAAAAATGAAGGCTCTGAGGAGTCCTCTGGAGCACATTCCAGTACTTTAGTGGGCTATGGGAAAGCTAGGGAGGGTCTATTGACAAGGGCATGTACAATAGGGTAAAGGGGAACGGCTTTAAAATGAATGAGGGTCGATTCTGTTGGTCTTTGGGAAACAATTCTTCACTCTGAGGGATATTTGAGCACCTTCCATTATCTGAAGGTAGCCTAAACTAAAATCTGGGAGAGACTCTTTGCAATGGCATGTAGCAACAGTACAATTGAGAATGATTTTCAACTGGAAGCGGGGAGATTGATGTTAGATATTAGGCAGAAGATTTTTACTCTGAGCTTGCTGAGAAACCTTAACATGCTGCCCAGTGAAGGTAGACGAGGAAATGGTGTGGGTGTTGTCTCTCTAAACTTCAGTAAAGATTTTGACCCCACCTCCCACTTCATCCTCCTAGAAAAGCTGTTGGTTCTTGACTTAGACATGTGTACTCTTTGCTGGGTAAAACCTGGCTGGATGGCCAAGCCCAGAGAGTTGCGAAGTGGTGGCTGGTCACCAGTGGTGCTCCCCATTGCTCAGTTGTGTTGCCACACTTGTTTAGTATCTTCCTGAATGTTCTAGATGAGGTAATTGAGTGCTCCCACAATAGCAGCTAACATCAAACTTGACGGGAGTGTTTTTGTGCTCGAGAGTAGGAAGTCTCTATAGAGTGAGCTGGAGAGGTTGGATCTGTAGTCTGAGGTCAGTTGTTTGTGGTTAAACAAGGCTTAGTGCCAGGTCCTGCTCTTGGCTCGCAACAATTCGAAGTAATGCTACAGGCTTGGGGAACAGTGTCTGGAAAGCTGCTCAAGGGAAAAGGACCTGGGGTTGCTGGTTTACAGCTGACTTAACATGAGGCAACATGTGCCACGTGGCTAAGAAGGTCACAAACATCCTGGGCTGCATCAGGAATGGTGTGGCCAGTAAGAGTAGGGAAGTGGTTGTGCCCCTGTACTCTGCACTGGTGAGGCTGCATCTGAAGCACTGTGTTCAGTTCTGGGCTCCACACTGCAAGAATGACACTGAGGTGCTGGAGCGTGTCCAGAGAAGAGCAACCAATGTTGTAAAGGATCTAGAGGACAAGTTCAATGAGGAGCAGCTGAGGGAATGGGAAATGTTTCTTTTGGAGAAGAGCAGGCTGAGGGGCGACCTCATGGCCCTCTAGAGCTACCTGAAAGGAGATTGTAGTGAGGTGGGTGTTGGCCTCTTCTCCCAAGTGAATAATGACAGGACTAGAGGAAAGGGCCTGAAGTTGCAGGAGAGTAGGTTCAGATTAGGTATTAGGAGGACTTTGTTTAGTGAAACAGTAGTTAGCAGTGGAAGAGGCTGTCTAGAGAGGTGGTGGAGTCACCATTCCTGGAGGTTATTGAGAAATGTGTAGATGTGGCAATTCAGGGCACACTCTGATTGGCATGATGGATTTTTTGTGGGTAGTGTGTTGCTGTTGGGTTTGTGAGGTGTATGGATCTGCGTTTTTTTTGTTTGGCTGGGGTTTTTGTGAGTTATTTTGGGGTTTCTTGTGATTTTGTTTTGTTTTGTTGTTGTTTGTTTTGGTTATCCAATCATGATGATCCTGTGATCATCAAAATAGCTCCTCCTCTCCTCACTCTCCCACTGAGTCCAAGGCCCTTCTAAACGTTGGCTTACTGGTTTCCAGGGCACCATCTAGCATTTCATGAGAGTCCAGATGATGAGCATATGTGAGGCTGAAGACCTGCAAACTCCACCTTACAGCCACCCCTTAACAGGTTTGGATTTCATAACCACTGATGACATGGACCCACTTCACTGCAGGTTCTCAAAGCTGCACTTGCAGCAGTCTCAGGGGACCCATCTCCATACATCACCATTCTACTCCATTGACTGTGAGAAAGTTATTTTATTTGGGGCTCCTACCATCTGGAATTACTCCCTGACACTCACAAAAGGTTTGCAGGAGGGTCTTGGTGATGTCCACAGTGGAGCATGGTTTCCAGCTTTAGATTGTCTCTGTTCAGGTCAGAGACCCAGGCCCTGGTCCAACCTCCTCTCTGGCTCTGGGCAGAGGAGATCAGTGTCCCCACAGGCAGTGCTGTAAGACATGGGTTCTCGCTACAGTTCTTGCTGGTGCCTGCTGACCTTCAGATGACAACCTCCCCTCTCTGTTCTTTGCAGGGCAGAGCTCCCCTCTCCGAAGACATGAGGCCCAGAGCTGTGGAAGCAGCTTGTGCTGGAAAACAGGGCATGGAGCAAAATGTCAGTTCTGATGCAAACCCTTGGCTGAGCCATCAGTGAGGGAGGAGAAAGACAAGCATGTCTGTCCTCACGGGCTAATGTCCTCAGAGGGGAAACAGAAGAAAGAGACCACACACCCAACAAACACTTACCAGGGACATACAAGTCCTCTCTGCGGGAGAGCAAAGCCACCCTCCTCTTGAGCAGTACTTTGTTCCTGTAGGTATTTTGTAATCGTGCTGTGGATGGAGAAGAAGGACTGTGTTGCATGTTTATTACACGGAGACTTGATGTCTGCTTGTGAGAGTGCTACTGCTTCTACATGTCAGGGAAAATCCTGATAATTATAAGTAGATCTTCTAGACAACTTTTTCCTACAACACCTTTTCTGTATTTTTTTTCACCCCCTTATAGAGAGAGCTCTGTAATAATGTCTTAATTTTCTTCAGCCTGTGCAATACCAGTCCAAAGAGGTGTTAAGAAAATTTCATTGTTGCTTACAATGTAATTCCTTAAAACCACCCAACATGTATTTAGACATGGACAACATTGTCACCTTTTGCAGATACCACCAGGGCTTTACAGGTTTTCCATACTGTGAAGAGTGGGCTTTGGGCAGTGTATTTCTTTGTTTTGTTTTGTATGTTGGTTTGGTTGTTTTTTTCTTACTGTATCTTTGAAAGGAACATTTCAGGATCTTTTAGTATAAGACAATAGTGAAGTAAAAGTGCTGTTTGTGGTTTTACAGTAATATAGGCTATAAGATTTGCATTGAACTTAAGGCATTGTAGAATATACTGCATCAAAAAGCTTTCTGGTTTCTTTTTCTTTCATTAATCTGTATTGATCTATAAAGTCATGTGATATTGTCTGTTGCTCATACACTTTAAAAGTCAATTGCTTGATGACAGAAAATAATAAAAACCCACTTCGTACTCCCTCGAGTGAGTGTGCTATCTCGAAGATCACATCACAGTAATTGCCGAGGAAATAGCCACCCATGGGCAGGATTTCGGGAATAAATCCATGCCTTCTGAGTAGATTGTACCCAGGGGAAACCAGCGAGACCTGGCATCAGTCCGTTCTCAGAGGCGAGTGAGAGAAGGATGGGGCTTTTCTGACCCTGGCTGAGGTCTGGGAGATGCTGTCCCTAACTCCTTCTCCAGTATTGCCAGTCTGAGAGGTCCTGAATCGAGGAAACAATCTTGGTCCATTCCAAAAACCCTCCCAAGAATTAGTGCGGGGAGCTACATGGCAATCTTTGCCGCGGTTCATGAATCAGATCGCTTCTGAAGCTGGACACCTATACACAGCTTCTTTAGCTAAACAGCCTAGAAGAAATTTCCTCACTGTTCATAAGCCATTGTAGGGAGGGAAATCAGAAAGAGCAGCTTGAAAGAAATCTCATCTTCAAATAAATGTGAGCAGAAGCAGTGCTCGTTCAAGTAGTAGTTGATATTTGAATGGGGTTGTACGGGCAGTTAAATCTGTATGTCCTGTCTTCGGAACAAAGAAGAAGAGCAGGTTGTGTTTTGCAAGCTTGGCTCTGGGAAATCTCCGCGTCCTTCCGCAGATCTGCCACCTGGTGCCGCTGCTGACCGCGGAGCCCGCGCGCAGCTCCCGGATCCACCTCCCGCGGGACTGCGGGGCTGCGCCATCCCGGGCTGCTCCGCTCGGAGGTCTGCAGGCTGGATCCGCAGCTCCAATCGGGCTCCGAGGGGGACCATCGGCTCTCTGGAACGTAATGGAGCTGAGCAAGAGCCAGGAACCGTTGTCAGGGCTGGCAGTGCCTCTGATTCTGCTCCTTTTTGTGTCAGGATTGAGAACGGAAACAGCCCGGTACTCTGTGCCCGAAGAAGCGGAGAGAGGCTTCTTTGTGGCGAATATTGCTAAGGATTTAGGACTGACCCGTGAGGAGTTATCGGCTCGGCAGGCTCGGCTCGTTTCTGAAGGAGAAAAGCAGTATTTACAACTGAACCAACACACCGGGGATTTGGTGGTGCGAGAGCGGATGGACCGGGAGGAGCTGTGCGGCCAGAGCGAGCCCTGCCTTGTGCGTTTCGAGGTGCTGCTGGAGAGCCCGCTGCAGTCCTTCCGAGCCGAGGTAAGCCTCACCGATATAAATGATCATGCTCCCGTGTTCTTAAATACAGAGATAGTTTTAAAGATTCCGGAAACTGCAATGCCAGAAGCTCGATTTTTATTGGAAAGCGCTCAGGATCCGGATGTGGGGAACAATAGTCTTCAGCATTACAACATCAGCTCGAACGACTATTTCCATATCCACACCCGGAGGCGGAGTGATGGAAGGAGGTATGGGAGAAAAGCAGTATTTACAACTGAACCAACACACCGGGGATTTGGTGGTGCGAGAGCGGATGGACCGGGAGGAGCTGTGCGGCCAGAGCGAGCCCTGCCTTGTGCGTTTCGAGGTGCTGCTGGAGAGCCCGCTGCAGTCCTTCCGAGCCGAGGTAAGCCTCACCGATATAAATGATCATGCTCCCGTGTTCTTAAATACAGAGATAGTTTTAAAGATTCCGGAAACTGCAATGCCAGAAGCTCGATTTTTATTGGAAAGCGCTCAGGATCCGGATGTGGGGAACAATAGTCTTCAGCATTACAACATCAGCTCGAACGACTATTTCCATATCCACACCCGGAGGCGGAGTGATGGAAGGAGGTATGCCGAGCTGGTATTGGACCGAGGGCTGGACCGAGAGCAGCAGGCAGAAGTGACTTTCAGTGTCATGGCTGTGGATGGTGGGTCTCCACCACTCTCTGGTACCGCCTTAATCCGTGTAGTAGTCCTGGATATAAATGACAACATCCCAGAATTTACCCGGAGTCTATATAAAGCTCGGGTATTAGAAAATAGTTCCCAGGATACATTAGTTGTAGCGGTTTCTGCTAGTGATTTAGACTCCGGAACGAATGGGGAAATATCCTATTCCATAGTTCAAAATTCAGAAGAAAATCTCCAGACCTTTAAAATAAATTCATACACGGGGCAGATTCGACTCAAAAAGGCAGTAGATTATGAAGAAACGAAGGCATACGAGATAGACGTCCAGGCCACAGACGGAGGGGGCCTGTCCGCGCACTGCAAGGTGGAGGTGCAGGTGGAGGACGTGAACGACAACGCACCCGAGGTGATAATCACGTCCGTCACCAGCACACTGTCGGAAGCCGCCCCACCAAACACCGTGGTGGCCCTTTTCAACGTGCGGGATCGGGACTCGGGAGAAAATGGCAGGACAAGCTGCGAGATGGCAGGTGAGCAGCCCTTCAGCATCGCTCTGCTGGCGGCCGACGCTTACGCGCTGGTGACATCGGAGGGCCTGGACAGGGAAGAAGTGTCAGAGTACAACGTGACACTGCGGGCCCGCGACGAGGGCTCCCCGGCGCTTTCGACGTCGAAGACATTGCTCGTACGGCTTCTGGACGTGAATGACAACGCGCCGACGTTCACGCAGGACGTTTACACCATGGTGCTGAAGGAAAACGAGCCCGCGGGGACGATCCTGGGCCGCCTGAGAGCCACGGACGCCGACGCAGGGGAAAACGCCCACGTGAGATACGCGTTGGAGGCAGCTCCGCCGGGAATCCCCGCAGCGGCATCTTTCGTGTCCGTGGACGCTGAGAGCGGAATCGTGCGGGCGCTGCGGGCGCTGGACTACGAGGAGGTGCGCGGGCTGGAGGTGGCGGTGCGCGCTGCCGACGGCGGGGCGCCCCC